CTGGACAAACAGTCTAACTACACCTGACCTGAACAGGCTTATTTAACAGTGGTGGTGACAAAGTGGGGGTGGGGACAGAACCAAAATCAGACCAAAGGAAAGAAAAAAACAAAAAAAACAACAACAAACACCCCACACAAACAGAGCACATGAAGTCAGGGACTACCTAAAGGTAGATCGATACCTGTAGAGCTGACCTTATCACCTTCACTCTCCTAGTATATTGCAAAAGCAGCCATAAACTCAGAAGTAAGCAACTTACACCATATCTTAAGCTTATCATCAGCAGTAACAAACCTGATTTTACAGGGTATAAGCAAGATAAGCAGTAAAACCAGCGGTGGCCCGAATGCTCTCTTCTCCCTCTTGTTTAAATAGCATGCTGTCTTAGGCAACTGCTTTTTTCTTACCTCTGTACAATGTCAGAAACAGGACTGGCTGTAGATAATGTAAGAAAAATGTGTGTCCACGTCTAAAAGCATAAAACCTCATCAACAATAATGCCACACACTGCACACAGAAGGCTGAAATCCCCTCATGAGACTGACATTGGAGGCAAGGTAATTTTGTTCCACTTCAAAGAAAATCAGCTTATTGATAATTGTCAGCTAAAAATAAAAGCCACCAATTAACCTAAAAGTATTATTAAAGTAATAGGGCCCATCCTAAGTACTCATTTATATGGCATAAAAAAGGATTTGATGTACCTTCTCTTAACTAAATGCAGCGTATAAAATCAGAATGGAAATATATTCCATAGCAGATTTACATCTGTAGGAGTTAAATTCTTTCACAATTGCCTCTTCCCTAATACACTGCATTTAGAAACATCAATAGATCTAGCCAGAGAAAAAAAGCACACAGGCATGCTGCCCCAGCATTCAGGTTTAGATATTCTTCACCACTCTCATACCCCTGGTATAAAGAATACTATCCCTCTCCTCCCCCATCTCAATTTTTAGTGGAAAAATAAGTCAGAAGAATATTTAAGACATTTCTAAATACTCATGATCAAAAAGCTTCCATGAACATAATGCAGAATATCCTGTATCACCGAGTCATTCAAGATCACCTCTTCAAGGGAGGCTCATTTAAATGCAGGAGTTGAAGCAACCTCCAGTGTCAGACTGTAGTGTCCAATATCATTTTACATGCTACCAATGGCTTGATTTCACAGACAAATAGAACGAAGACACCCCTTCATTCTCAGGGTTCTTAAAAGAATAAAAGACAGAACACCCTTTTCTGTGCAACTGTAACACAGAAATTCATCTTGAAGATTTTGACTGTGATTTCTTGTCCGTTATTAATGAAAAAAACAGCTCAAGATCAAAAGATAATGTTCTATTGTAAAGGAGATTTCCTTCTCCTTCCTACTCTGCTTTTTGTCTCAACTATACATTAGCCTCAGTGATACCATGCAGAAAACTGATAAGCAGAGAATGCAAACTTCCAAGTTATTAAACCCAAAGCCAGGATGAACACGGGTTTCAAATGAAGAATTAAAAAAAAAAAAAATTAGCTAAGGCAAACCCAAACCCCACACAACTCATATGCAAAATAAAAGCAGACTGAAAACAGCATGCTGTCATCAGGAAAGGGACTTCAGCAAGGCTGAATACTGGGTTTATTCTGCCTGCCTTCACTTCTTCTACCCCTCCCTCTCCCAGTCTCTGTCTTCAGATGACAGCAACAAATCCATCGGTATTAATTAAAAATAAAATAAATAAATAAATAAGAAAGTAACAGAGTTGACAAATTCTGAACAAGTCAAACAGCTCATTACAACTGCAAACAGTAAATTAAATTACTGTATGCTTTCATGCAGTCTAGCTCAAGCACAAATAAAAATAATCCAGAACACACACACTAAAAAACAAAACCAAAAAACACCCACAAAAAAACCCAACCCACTGTTTTGTCTGCTTCCTCTAAACCCAAGCTCTTATGCTGGGGCTTTCACCCAGATACTATTTTGAAGCTATGCTGTATTTATAATTAGAGTATACACATCTGTGTCTCATGCATAGCGGCTCATTAGAAGCCAGAAAGATTTCACGAGAAAATATTTAATTTTACAATAGGGATGACAGAACCTTAAGCTTACTTTAAGTGCCCGTTTTAACTGCATTAGAGATACTGTGTAGCTACACATTACTGCCTCTCACACTTCCAGATTTGCTTGTTTTCCCTCGTTATTCCAGAAAGAATCCAACATAAAATTTTCTGTTAACTTTAAGAGATTTAAAGGCAGAATCACTCTTTTTTGGGTTTTTTTTTTCCCTTAACAGGTTCAACAGGAAGGCGACACTGCCTGAACCAGAGACTGATTCAAAACTATGTTCACCGGATGAGCTGACAAAGTGGGAAGCTTCTCTTTTAAAAGAAAACCTCACTGTGCTAAGGAGTAGGCGCAGAAACGACAAACAGAACCAACTTTAGAACCAAACAAAGAGGACTCTGGGAATTATGTCAACCTCAGACAGCATCCCCAACCATATTCAGCACGGTTTTACCCCAGAATCGCTATCACCTACAGAGGTATGCGACCTCAGGGGGCGGGAGGGAGGAATAAATAAATAATTTTTTTTTTTAAATAGCATCTCCAGCCCTCAAAAACAGAATTTCATTGCAGTTGCAAGGCAGAAATGGGTAAGACACATGGAAATCAACCTTTTATTTGCAGTATTTATCATCCCTTTCGTTATTAACCAGAGACAAGAGAAGTTACCCCTTAAACTTACCGAGGCTACAGGATGATCAGGAGGAGAATGCAGATAACAGGGTGTTTGGAGCCGCCTCGCTATCAGATAAACCCAGATGAATGGCAGACGGGGCCATTCTAGCCCAGGTATTTCCCGCACCCACCCGCTCCGCTCCGGGTGCGCAGGCGAGGGTCAGACGGCTCCGAACACAAATCCATAGCGACCCCAAATCTCTCACTGCTCCGGGAGGAACCTCCACCCAAACTCACCCTACCGAGATACGCATCCCACAGCGATGCTGGAAGCCTTCAGCGTAACACACCAGTCTCCCGCCGCTGCCTCAGGAATCCCTCTTTCTAACTACACTCAGTGCTAAAGTTACAATGGTTAGAAAGAGGTAAAGGCGTTTACACACTGCCCTGGGAATCCCCTCATCCCCAGCCGTGCAAGTACTCAATACACACAACCCGTCTGCGCTTCTTTTCCTCCTCCCCTCAAGGAGACACATCCATACTGGGGAGGGGGACGAGAGCCGCCCCTCAGGGCCAGCCCCAAGCTGCTCCCTTCCCCGGCAAGGGGCACACCTCCCTCCCGTATCTCAGTCCCACCCCAGCGCTGGGAGCAGGGGAACAAGAGCTACAACTCTCCTCCCTCCACTCGTTACTCCCTCCCTCCAAACCCCACTCACCTGGGAAAGGAGCCAAAGCTCAGCTACGTCTCCTTCTCCCCGTCTCCCCCACGCTCAACCTCACGCCGCCATTTTCCTCGCTGCCTGGATTTAAATAGGAACCAGCCTGCCCGAGAGCGGCCGCCGGGCGGCGCGAAGCACTGTGGGACCTGTAGTGCGGCTCCGCGCGGGGCATTTCGGGACCTGTAGTACCCAGCGCCACCGCTCCCACCGGTCCCCGCGGCAGAGGCCCCGCCCGGCTCGGCGGCGGGAGTCGGTGAGGATGGACACCAGCCTGACCGTCCGTACCACTGCTGCCGACCGCCGACCGCAGGTACAGTCCGCACCCGGCAAGCAAGGCTGCCGCCGGCCGTGCTTGATGCTCAGTAAGTAGCGGTTTATGTGCATGAAGGATTAAAGTGCAATAGAGTATCAGCCCTGCGCTGCACTCCACCACAACTTAGAGGTGAAAGCCACAGCTTCACCAAGCACCTTTTCTTTCCATTTCAATGAAGAAAAAACCTAGTCTAGTAAAGAGGGTGTTTAATAAAACACAAACGGGTTACAATAAAAGTTTAAAAGCACATCAAGAGCTTCTGTTACTCTCTACCTCAGGTGTGGGTTTTCAAATGAACATGTAAGAATGGTTCACTTGCTGTCTATGAAAGCAAGGACATGAAGGGCTGCAGACTTGAAATAGGGAACCTGCCCATGCCACCGCTTGCTTGCAGAAATACTATTTCCATAAACACTTCTAGAACTAGTATTTAAAACTTTGCAGACTAAGGCTGGGTGGAGACCGCAGCATACTTCAGGTTGTGCGAGTCATAAAGCAGCCTTAGCAAACCGCTTTTCTTACTCTAAATGTGTGAAATAATGAAAGTGCATGCACTGAAGTCCTGCCAAGATATTCATACAGAGCTCATTCTAGATGGACAGTGAAGCCATTAAGCAGACCTTCCAGCAATTCCCAAATAACAAGGTATGTCAAATTACTGCTGGGCACTCATGAGCAAGTTACTGGCACAATATGAGTCTCCAGCTATCTCTGAAATGAACATTACAAACCATAAAATCCAGAGATAATTCACATATGTCAAGTTCTGGGGGGGAAAAAAAAAAAAAACCAAGCTCCACCTTATTTACGTTGCAGTTATGCTACACAAGAACTCGCTGATTAAAAATGTCCATACTTACAAATTCAGATTTAACCAGCTAGTAGAGACAGATTTCTCACATTATCACAGCAGAAAAAGGGTTCATGTTGTCAGAGTATCTTAAGAGGTGTGATGGCCTGTTCCTCATAGCATGAGATCTGCTGTTTAATGGTTCCACTTCCTCCATTCCAGGTGGTTGGTTTTTTGCAGATTGTTCTCTTCTTCTATTACGAATTATAACAGAGCATTTATGAGGGCAGAAACAATGGAAGTGTGCAGGGAGGAAGAGGTTCATGAGAGGCAGCAGCAACACTGGAGATTAGTTACAGTGGGGTTTTTTTCCTTTTGGCAAACTGCATATTATCCGTATTTCTTCCATTTAGGCCACAAAGTCCTTAAATTACATTTGCATCACATACCTTAGACTCAAGACTAATACAGTGTCAATAGAGAACAAATACTGTGCATCTATTCACCCCTTTTTAACATTTAGTTCCTGTTCTAGCAATTATAAATAGATAACTTCAAAATTATTTCTGATTTAATCACTATATTCTTCATTACATAAAGAGCTTTGACTTTTCATTGATATGTGATGCTTGACAAAATTAACCCACAAATAATAGTAAATGTAGCTGTAGAACTGTAGCATTTAATGGTTGTGTCTATTTGCTCCACCTGCTGGTGCATATGCCTTTTAAAGCAGACTTTAGAAGGCCACATGTATTAAAAATTTGGCCAAAGATGTACACAAGAGACATTCTTGACCGTAAGCTGAATTTGTGAGACATACCAATTAAATCCAATCTGATTCCAACATTTTCTCAGTCAAAAAAAAGCCAGCGGAAACCCAGATGTATGGAAACGTAACCCACAGCTCACCTTTCAGATGCTGTCATTCATTTTTATCGTGACAGTAACCCAGACAGTCACCATTTTCCACCATCTATTCTACTACAGGAAGTGTTCTCACTCACAAGGACATCTCTCTTAACTTATTTGTCTCCTGAATATTCAAAGAGCAATTGCCATTTGAACAATTAGTGCAGGAGAAGCCTCCCATTTCTTCAGCCCATTTAATTGTTCTCTGCTCAGGAACATAAAAAAAAACCCAAACACTATGCTCAACAAATACTCTTCATTCCATCTATTGATAGGAATATTTTTTTTAGGTTTAGTTTTTGAGATGTTTGGCAAGGAAATAGTAACAACATCCCCACTAGGCTACATTTTCCAACTGTACTCCAGGACAGAAGTGTCTTTCCATCTCTTTTTCCTTTCCCAAATTAGAAAAAGACAGCACAAAAGAAAACCATCCAACAACAAGCCTCTCTGCTCCCTCAAATCCTACAAAAGATCCTTTTGTAAAGACCAGCACATTTCAGCACTAATTCTTTAACCAGAAAAAGAGAAGTCTATTAACTGAAAACACATCTCAGGGGGAATTTAAAATAAGCCAGTATCTTTGTTGCAATCAGTCACACATTAGTCAATCCACAGTACTTCGCTGGTTTCACTAAAAGTAAAAATGTTAAGGGATAATTATAACAAATAAATGTTAGAACAACATCAGTTTGTAAACATTTTTTTCTTCCCCATGGCCAATAAATTAATAAACTCAGTTCTAGCTACTGAGGTTTAAAGCTAAGCATCTAAAATTTCATAATTCACAACATCAGTGGTTTTCTATCCGTTTCTGTAACTGCTAGACAGTTTTTTGTGGTAGAAGTCAACACTGAGATGGATTAAGAAAGGCAGTACATATGTGCTTTCAGTTAAGTAGATGCAGCAGCCCATTTTAGCACTGAAAAACAAATATAGATGAAACATTGCCTCCTCTATCCCAATTCATCTATCAACAAATGGTGAAACTAATTAATATTTAGAGTTACTTTGCATTCAACAAGCCTAAGCATTTAGAAATTCTAGCATTTTTCAGAACTTGCTGGAAACTCCAGCTCCCAGACAACATCCTGCATTCTTAGAACCTACCCTGAATGATTTCAGTTTTCAGTGGACTTGAACAGGAGCAGGCAAGAGCAACACTACCATCCACATTGCTCTGCCACCCTACAACCTCCACTCAATTCCGCTTCTTGTGGCCAAATCAAAACCTCAGTAAGAAGAGAATTTGAAATGTATCAGCTAAAGAAGGTTTCTTGTTACTGTGCTTTTAAAACCAAGACAACTTGTTCATTCCTGCAGATTTGTAACAAGCTGTTCTGCACTCCCTAAAAGATGCCCTTCCTTCTATCTCTAAAATAATATTCAGGAGATAAAACAACTCTTATATACCCAGTAGAAGGAAAGGAAGGTTAAAAGTAAAAGGACCTAATTTTGGTTTCTCAACAGAGCAGATGCTTAGTAATATTCTATATTTTGATGTGCACATGCCTAGTTGCAAAGACCTCTGACATAGGAGTTCGGTTAAAATTAGATTGTGACAAGATACAACATACAGTTGATTACAGAAATTAAACCCTTAACTATTAAAAGAGCTTAATAGGATCATTCATTAAAATATTACATCATTAGGGAACACGCCTCAGCATCTGTGCTGACAGATTTTATGCAGCTTCAGCAAAGGAAGAAGTGTTCAATGAGAACATTACTGTATGTGACATTCATTATATTGAAAGAAGTAAGAAACACAATCAGCTTAGTTTAGAAAACACTAACAAAGCAATATTTAAACAAATAATAACTTTAAAAATCCCCAAAACACAACAAAAACATCCACAAAACAAACCTCACCATACTGCAGTATCTAACCTAGAGCTCAAGTGCGGCTTTCTGACCTGTTTCTGCCATGGCAGTTAGGGTCTGTGTTTCTAAGAGTTTTGAAGATCCTCTGTGGCATAAACATGACTTTGCAATACTCTCATTACCCCTGGCTTAGGTTTGGCTTTAATTAGCATTTCTTTGGCTAAGCACCTGTGTATGAGAAATCTACTGTGCCTTTTTTTTTTTGTTTTTTTGACTTCCTAACAGGATGCCTGGATTGACCTCAGATCTTGCTGTGATGTGAGGGTTTGGAACTGGTTGAAGTATTTGGTTAAAGAAAACTAATTTCAAAGACATTAGACATTATTAGCAATGCTTCCAAAAGCTGCAGTTAAAAGAAGTTGCCAAGCACTTAGGAATTCCTAGTTGATGACCTCTGTCTCATACCTTCCCTATAAAATGGTGTTTAACATGTGGAACAATCTCTGACTGTGGCAGGCTTTCTTCCTAACCAAGGAACAAACCAACAAATGTTAACTGAAACAGTGTAAATGGATTTTAAAAAGTAATAGCAGAGATAAGCTCAGAATCATCTTAGTCTTGTAAATTTAAGTTGCTTAAAATACCTCTAAGCAAGTACTCATTTTCACCCAAGTTCTACTTTTCTGACTTCTCATTCCCACTCAGCCAGAAAGAAAAAAATTCTACATTAAAAGAAAACCAAATTGTCTTCATCATCTCATTTAACCACCACTTCGCATTTCAGATTTCACACTCTAATAGCAAGCCAATGAAAAACAGAGACTTAAGAATCAGTATCTGAATTCGGTTTACTTCCAAAAGCATATACATTTGTGGGGTTTTTGTTAATTAATTATTTTTTACACCAACCTGCTCATTTTTCCTTGTAAACTCATCTTTATATCTGTAAAATAATTACTCCGTGAGACTTGCAAGAACATTGGTTTAAATAAATTAAAACCAGACTTTTTTTTTTTTTTTTTACAAACAGCTTCCCGAAACATTTTCATAATAAGAAGCCTAGAATTAATTTCATGCACTTGGTGTTACTGTAAGTATGTATTCAAATATATTATATATAGACAGTGATTTTCAATTTAAGGAAAAAACCCAACTATCATATTGTAAGAAGGTTCTTACATCAAGTACATGTGCATGGAACACAATAGGAGCTATCCATATACTTGCATTGTGTTTGTATTTCTAAAATTAGAATTAAAATAAAATAAACTCTGAAAAAAAAACCACCCAAACAACAAAAAAAACCTCAAGTTTCTTTGAAATCGCCATCATGCTATTACACGTGTTATGCAATAAGAATATTTAAGAGTGTAATCAATTTATTTAAGTGGCAATATTAGGAACATATTTTCTGATAATACTGAAAGAAAAAGATCTCCAGCGTTCAAACTTGTCTATCTATTTGACCAGAGAAAATTACGGCAAGCAAGAAAACTGAGTTCATTAAACTTACCCAACATTGAGATATCAGCCTCAGATCTATGGGTTACTTAAAAAATACCATTAATCTTTTTATAATATGATCATATTAATATTAAAATCTTATCCAGACAAAGTGTTCACATAAGAAGCAAATTAATACCTTCATCAACATAAAACTTTTGTGAGACTCCACTTGCAGTACTGTGCGCAGTTCTGATGTCCTCAACATAAGAGGCGCATGGAGCTGATGGAGCAAATCCAGAGGAGGGCCATGAGGATGATCAGGGGCTGGAGCATCTTCCATATGAATACAGACTGAGAATATTTGGGCTGTTCAGCCTGGAGAAGAGAAGCTGTGTGGAGACCTCATAGCAGCCTTCCAGTATCTGAAGGGGGGCTATAAGGATGCTGGAGAGGGACTCTTCATCAGGTACTGTAGCGATAGGACAAGGGGTGATGGGCTTAAACAGGGAAAGTTCAGGTTACATATAAGGAAGAAGTTCTTTACTGTGAGGGTGGTGTGGCACTGGAACAGGTTGTCTAAAGAAGTGATGAATGCTCCATCCCTAGCAGCAGCTCAAGGCCAGGCTCGACAGAGCCTTGGATGAAATGGTCTGGTGTAAGGCATTCCTGCCCATGGCTGGGGCATCGGAACTAGATGATCTTAAGGTCTTTCCAACCAAAATCATTTTGTGATTCTGTGAAAACCCTTGAGTCAGTCTAAAGGAAATTATTATCTACAGGTTTTTCTTTCTTAAGAAAGAAAAAGGTTATGCTTGGTGAAACATTCTTTCCAATATTGGTTTAGTACCTCCCTTGAACATCTTCTGAATAGACTCAGAAGTTTAAAACATTGATTACAAACTGGGGGCGGGGGGGGGGAGAAGAAGCAGTTGAGGAAAAAGTTTCTGGCACATCTAACTACAAGCATGAAACTGGCTCTTTACAAATAGAAGTTTTGGCTTTTATTTCAAAAGGATTAATGTTATATTATAAATTACTCAGCTACTTTCCTTCCCCTCATCCCTGCCGAATACAAGACAGTACAATCCAGTGCAAAACCCAACCGGCAGTCTAGTATTTTTCCCAAGGCACATGGTTTGCATCTTTACTGAAGATTAGTCTCACCTTCATACTGAAAGATTAGTGTTGTCCTGTCAGAATTTGTCCTCTTTCTAAACCTGCAATTTTTAAAGAGAAATCAAGTATAGAAAATGTTTCCTTTTTTTACCAGGCTACTTCAGATATAACTGTTATTCCACATAAGATGAAGAAAGAAAAAATTCTTGGGGAGGGAAGAGAAGGGGAGACAGACAGGCACGGTAAGACCTTTTTGGTACAGAATTCTCATTTTCTAAAAACAAACAAATAGACTTAATAAAATAAACTTAGATTTACACAGCCTTCTGCAGTGTCTGTAATGCAAATATTACAGAAATGTAATAACTTCTGATTACTGAACCAGAAGTTCATGCCGATTCAGCTGTTGTGAATCTTGGAGATGCCTACCAAAGTACCTCAGAGATGATCTTGTCATAAATGTAGAGTTATCAACAAACATATTTAAAAAATATAACCTGATAGTGTCCATTAAAATAACAAGACACAGCTCTGCGGTGTCAATTTTTTAAGTCAACAGTCTTCCATCAAACGTTGTTTTCTGATACTAGCTTATATCCTCATACTGGTTTTGATTTTCTTGTTCTTGGTGATGCTCCATCTTCTGGTTTTGCTGCTCCATTGGCAAAGTTAGCTGTAATTTTAAATTAAAGTACAGTAAACAAACTCAATTTTGCTTCACATGAAAATATAAAGAAACTAGACCAGGGAAATAAAATATATTAAACACATGTACAGACACATCTGAACTCTCATCTTCAGAACTGGAGGACAAGAGGAGTCTACCTTCAAGTAGACTGAAGAAATAACTTGCAGCTTTGACTGCAACCAAAGTAGAACCCAAGCTTCAGTGGAACCCAAGCTCTTCTTCAGAGTATCTCTACAACTATGAATACTTTTGCAATTACAAATAAGATGAACTGGTAAACAATGTACAACATCTTTCCACATATGCTGCCAGAGAGCTGTAACACCTGTGCTATTCTTTGGTTTGCTCAATGAAGTCAAAATACAATAAAACGTCTGCTATTCCAAAGCATAACCATCTTGGGAGCTTAATTGGAATGAAGTTATTTATCTGCAAAGAAGAAAAGAATCTTAAAGATTCTTCTGGAGGAAGAAAAGAAAAAAGAAATCCTCTGTAGGAACAGTTAGAACAGAAAGGCTGCTCTAGAATGATAAAGAAAAAATATGTTATGAGCACCATTATGGTCTAGAATCTACCAACTGGTTTCAGCTAATGCTGACTCAGCTCGTAATCTCAGAATGCAAAGAGCTTCGAGCCCTCTTAGTAGAAATTAATATATAAAGATCAACTTCACAGACAGACAGCCGGTAGTAGAATTCTCAAGAAAACGTATTTTTCAAAGCTCTACCCAAATCTCAGAAGTTATTCCCAATTCTTCATACATAATGCTATCCAGAGCTTTATATATATAGGCTAACAAATATGCAATTTCACTCTACCAACTCTTCACAAGTCCCATTTAACTAATTTAATTGATATAATGTTGGAATTCAGAAATTATACAACATCGTTCAATTAAAAGCCTTTATTAGTTCTCCTTTGCCAGACACGATGATGTTCCTTGAGTTCTTTTTCAGTGGTTTTGATGTTCTTTACATGACGTGTCTTTATACAGAAGAACTAACTTTATTTTAATGATATGAAACATAATAGAAGCAGAATTTATAAAATACAGAAGCTATTTCAGGTACTCCCCCCCCCTCCCCCCCCCCCCCCGGTGTTAAATCCAAAAAAATACTACTGGCATTGGAAAAGACTGATTTAAAATGGAAAGAAAACCCTGGAATCATTTAGCCCAGTTTCATGAAATACTCCTTGCATTTTGATTAACAGAGAGTTCAGTGAATAATCCTGAAGGATACCTAGGCCTAACACTTAATACAACTAGCACTGTGTGCTGTCCTCTTAGCAACAGGGAATTTGAGAAGAAGATGTCCTAACATTTGAAGAGACTATAATATTACCTATATTACCTGCATGTCAAAAGACAGATATTTGCCTGTTTTATAGAATGGAAAGATGTAAGTGATACAATTGATATAAAAACATTTGGCCTTGAAGCAATTTAAAACATTTACACACTGACCTTTACCTGGTTCCTTTTTTGTTCGTTTCTTCTTTGGGTTAGTTGTTTTTTTCTCTGGAATCTGGTCCTTAACACGCTCTCTCCATTTCTTCAGCTGAAAATGTACAAATTTCCGCATCATCCAGGCCTGTGTTAGACAAACAGCACCCAGGCAGCCAATCCTAGTAAGATTTGAGATTTTGGAGACACTTAGATGAAAGTTTCAGTTAAGCATTAATAGACTATGAGTCTGTACTTATTTTATTTTTTTCTCCAACAGTCTAATATAAAAGCAATGAAAATCTTCATACCACAAGAAACCAGACCTATCAGAAGGTTTTGGCCAATACAAGATGCAGCACACAAGAAGTGAATGGGAATTGTATGCAAGCATATTGCTAAAAGCAATTGGGTTTATCAAGGACCTATAGCCATAGCTTTCATTGGCTGACAGGAAATTATGGCATTGACGCCCCTTCTGCCAAGCAATCTATGAATGAGAAATCACATAGATTCAAAATTCCTCCCACTCCTTTGATTACAGGCATTAAGTTATAAGAGAGAATGTTGAAGTGATGAGCTTATGCTGAAAATGTAATAAAATTCTTAAATTAACAAGCAAGAAGAAAATATGCACAAAAAAAAAAATGTAGGAAGGCACCAAAAAATAATTAGTTAAAAAATTATGGGTATTAATATCACCAAATGATACTATGTCCAGTACAGACATTGGGAGGGGAAGGTTGGGGGGGGGCGGAGTTTAAAGAGATTATTATCCCAGGAAGTTTATTTTTAATTGTTTTTCATTTCCCTCCCTCTCTCCCTCTCCCACAAAAAATCTGTTCTACTACTTTTGTGAAAAGGAGGTAGAAAAAGAAAACAAAATTCCCCATCCCTTAAATACTCAAGAGGAAAACATCACCCAGGGAAATTATTCCAAACGCATTATCCCCCTAGATTGCTTTATGAAAAGATTCTTTGAAATGCACCATTATACACGCATGAATGTCTACTAGCCTTGGTATACCTCACAGGGAGGGTATTGAAGTTTCCATCTGCTATGGAAAAACCTGGATTCTCTGCTCTTGCCAGACCAAATCCAAACGTGAGGACAGATAAAGTTAGGGTCAAAAGACGCACCATTATGAAAAGTAAAGCCCAAATGATAAATCTGAAACAAAACAATTAAATTAATGTGATTTCTCCTTTTAGTCCATTTCTTTTCAATGAAGTCAAACGTATGAAGAGCTTTCTATTAAAATTTTCTCAGCAACACTAGAGAAACAGATCTGTAGTTTCCAGGGTCACCCTTCCTGCCCTTTTTATAGAGGGGCATCACACTTGCCAACCTTCAATCCTCAGGGACCTGCCTGCTAGACCAGGACTGCTAACAGATGATAGAGAGTGGCTTAGCGAGCTCTTCTGCCAGTTCCTTCAGCACTCTTGGGTCTAACCCATCCGGCCCCATGGACTTGTGTACATCTAAGTGGAGCAGGAGGTCTCTAACCATTTCTTCCAAATTATGCAGATTTCAACCAGTTTCTCATCTCTGCTATCCAACTCAGGGAACTCAGTACCCTGAGGATACCTGGTGTGACTATTAAAGACTGAGGCAAAGGCAGCATTAAGTATCTCTGCCTTTTCCTCATCCTCAGTCTCTAGGTTTCCCCCAGTATCCAGCAGTGGATGGAGGTTCTCCTTGGCCCTCCTTTTATTGCTAACACAGTTGTAAAAGAACTTTTTATGATCTTTTATGGTAGTGGCCAGATTTATTTTCATGTGTGCCTAACTTTCTATATAACCTAACAACATTCTTGTAATTTTCATGGGATGACACAGTCACTTCTTCCACAGGTGATAAATTCTCTTCTTTTTCCCTGAGTTCCAGCACTGCCTCCCTGTTCAGTCAGGGTGATCTCTTCCCCACTAGTTTGATTTTCAGCACACAGAGACCACCCACCCCTGCGCCTTAAGGACTTTTTTCTTGAAGAGTGTCGAGCCTTCCTGGACCCCTTTGTTCTTCAGTAATGTTTCCCAAGGAATTCTGTCAACCAACATCCTAAACAGACCAAAGTCAGCCCTCTGGAAGTCTAAGGCAGAGGTTTTGCTGACCTTCATTTTGTGATCACTTTGCCCAAGATGTCGTCCAACCCAGGCCTCTACTTGTTAACAGCAAATCTAGCCAGGCATCTCCCCTAGCCAGCTCACTAGCCAGCTGGGTTAGGACGTAATTTTCCACACCCTCCAAGAACCTCTTGGATTGTTTCTTCCAGCAGACATCTGGTAGGTTGAAGTCCCCCATGAGAACAAGGGCAAGAGACCATGGATCTTCTTCCAGTTATCTGAAGAGCACTTCACCTATAGCTTCATCCTGGCTAGGTGGTCTATAACAGACTCCTATCAGGATATCTGCTTGGCTGGTCTTCCCCCCAATCTTTACCCAGAAACATTCAGCCTTTTCACTCACATTGAGTTCAAGGCAGTCAATGTACTCCCTGACATACAATGTAACCGCACCACCTCTTTTTCCCTGCCTACCCCTTCTGAAGGGTCTGTAGCCATCCACTGCAGCACTCAATCATGTGAATCATTCCACCAAGTTTCTGTAATGGTGATTATGTTCTGATTTCCCTGCTGCAACTACATGTTTTTGAGACATTATCTTCTCTGTTGTATAGTACTTTCCCTTTCTCACCTTACCAAAAGCAGAACCACCTTCAAGAACTTAGAGGGAATGCCACTTTTATAACTTCTTTAACTGTTTTTAAAAATAAGTGTCCTTACATACAAACATTTATGAACATTTAAGCAAACAGGCAAGTGATAGGATTAGAATGCAATACAAAGATATCCGAGATGGAACCTGAGTAAAAACTGCTGCTGCTGCTAAGTGTATTTTCTTCCTTCACTTACTTGTGAATTCAAAGCAGGTAAGAGTGGACATTGAAAAAGTGGTGATTGCTGCCTGAGTACTTTTACATACATGCAAATCCATTTATACACAATTAGTAAGCAAAGTTATGAATTTAAATTAATCATATGCAAGATTTACCCTTTTTGCATGTTTTCATCAGGGAAGTAGAAGAGACGCAAGGCATGAAAAATGAATTCCACCAAATAGTGAGGTACCACCAGAATTAGCCCCAAATGCTGCAAACTATAAAACAGAAAAGTTAGAAATTTTAATGAAATTATGAAAATAATAGATCTGTCTATTCATAATAAACATGCAAATACTTACTTTAATATATAGGCACCAGAGATATGAGTAATGTAAAGGCAAATATAACATAGCTGCCTTGGAATATCTTCCTAAAATTGGAGAAATTATAATAAATGCTGTTACAATTTAACTATATTTTCCAAAGAAAAATCTATTTATTCATTAGTTTTGGTTATTTTTTTTCACACTGCTGTATAAACTTCTGGAAGAAGTATCTGAATCAAAAACTACACACCCCCTAGGCTAAATATACATAAGTAACTGAAAACACAAATCACAGAATGGTTTGGGTTGGAAGGGACCTTAAAGCTTTTCTAGTTCCACGCCCCTGCCATGTACAGGGACACCTTCTGCTAGATCAGGTTGCTCCAAGCTCCATGCAACCTGGCCTTGAACACTGCCAGGGATGGGGCAACTTCTGCCTGTACCTCAACACCCTCGCAGTAAAAATACAAATACATGGATGTTTATATAGTTAATATAAACAAAAGTATTAATACAAATAATTGGAAAGAATCGATATTTAGTTAACTGTACTGACAACTTCTCTCCATACCTTTTGGACCTTTTGGAAGTATAGCTCCGGCAGTGCATGAATCCAATAGGCTATCTGGCAAACATAGAAGAATTTTTCCTGAAAACTAAACAATAGTTCAGGTTAAGAAAACACAAGATGATGAGTTTTCAAGCTTTCAACATAAGATACAAGATTTTATTTTATTATCTTATATTAATTCAGTCTGACTCATTATAGTTTATGATTTCTAAATCTCAGTAACCGCAAATACAAAACAACTCTGGTGACAGTTTTTTGAATTAGCATCCATTAACCTTGATATCACGTTCTGAATCACCTTTTGAAGGAAAAAAACACCAAAACATCTAACACACAGAAACAGTTAATCGATTGAGGAGTGGCGCTCCATAAAAATGAGTGTTAGCCCCCTTCCCTCTACCAGACTAACTGAAGAAAAACAGAGCTGGGGGAAGGGGGGGGCACAGACAAACAACACAGTTAAGTCATGTTACTTAAATGTAAATACCCCCTCCCACCTATAAATTCTAATTTATTCTAATTCATTCTCCAACAAATACATTTCTTAGTGTGAAACAGTTCAGCAGTCCTATTATATATCCCATCTTGCAAACACCTTCACTTTAACTGAGCTACCATGGTTAAGTTAAAGAAAGTTGAGAACACATGTAAGTATCTCTTGGATTGATGTGCAGTTCATTAAAAATTACCTGTGAATAAAACAGCAGTTTTCAAGCAGAACAAAGTACTTTCATCAAGTTGTCATTCTTATGCCTTAAGTCATAAGAATGACATAATATCATTCACTGCCTTATTAGTGGTTCCCTAAAATTTCGGGTGGTTAAATATTCAGTGATTGGAATAACCACAGTTTTTTCAAATTGAAAATAGAACACTTACAGCATACGAGAAAAGGGATAATCTTTCCAGAACGAGGTTAGGTTCATTGAGAATTCTTCCTAAAGAAAAGGGTCATTGATTTAAAGACCTTGTTAATATTTTGAGCCTATTTTTTAAGTAAAATCAGCAAATAGAGTGACTTACTGCATTCAAAATACTTGCTCCCCATATAAATGAAAACAAGTAGAACAATGCAAGCTGTCCTGATTCATTGAATTTGCTCTTCTCCCGTTCTGACAGCTGCAGATGCCTATTAATTTTCTAGAAACAAAAAGCAGATCAATAAATATAATTTCCAAACCACGAAAGCTATTTTGGAGTTAGCATTCACTCCCGATTCCTCATTCTGATCTTCCCTTCCTCAATCAAAATACATAGTTCCTACCATTTAAAACTTTGATCAAAACTTTGTATGACAATTAGCTTCAATAAAACTCACCACTATGGTAAAGTTCACATGGAAAATAGTCAGATAATGTATTAAGACTAATTTTTTTCATCCACAATCAGTCATATTGCTAAATTTTTCCAATCTCTTTGCACATTTAAAAACCAGCTGAGCTTCTGTTGTACAGATGATCTATTTGATAAGACTTTCTAAGACCATTCAATAATAGATGGTTTTCACAATGGCTTTAACAAATTCATTTTACTTTGCAACTGAGTTGGTGTGAAAGAACACGCATTGAAGTCTCAGCTCCCTCTTTGAGGCAAAGCTCAGCTGACAAACAGAAATCTATCACTTCAATAATTTTTGGTTTTAATTGTTCTAATATATCTTACGAATCTAATGCAGACCTCATTCATAGGTGTCTTGAGCAAAACATGAACATTTAATGTCTGGTTTTACAGAAAATGTAAGTTATATTTATTGAAAGTAAAATTTAGTGGTTTATACCATCAATAAATTGAAGAAATATCACTTTAAAAATATCACAGTATCATTTAGACTGGAAAAGACCCTTAAGATTGCTGAGTCCAGCCATTAACCTAACACTACCAAACCCAAGTCCACCACTAAACCAAGATCTCATTGCATTTTTGTCAAATAACAAAAGGATTGATCATAACAGGGCTTCTAAATGCTAAATCATTTTGTGTACCATGGCTTACACTTAGACTTGCAGAAAAACTCTTAGCAACTGATGGCTAAAAATAATGTGATTATAAAAGTAAATGACAGCCCAGTAATAAACTTACATCTAATATGCACTCCTGGATTACAGCATGCACTTTAATAGCTACAAGCATGTAGAAGCCGATTGTGGCAATGTCTTTGGGACCATAGTCATAAAAATCAAATTGCTCAGTGTTGTCATCTAAAAAAAAAGAAAAACAGAGAGAAAAAAGAGAAAAAGTGTGCATTTTTACATTCTTCTGAAGGAGTATCCTGTGCAACCGGCAAAAGGCAGCAGTGACCAATGCTCTTGGAAGTTGTTAAGTAGTGCCCTGTATCCGTTTAATGTAAATTTTACGTTTTTGAAAATTACTTCCTATGCCCAATTAGTTAACCTGGAACTTCTTTTCCTTCAATACAATGATACTATTATAAGCCTAGAACAAACTATTGAGATCACTATACACTGACCTGTTGCTTCAATCCATTTCTTCCATTCTGGGCCATTAAAAAAAAAAAAACGAAAAAACAAACAAACAAAAAAACAACACACCACACACCAATACCCTGTCCTCTATAATTTGGTAGAGGCCAAATGAGATTCCATCTTAAGAGGTAAGACCATATGTAGGAAAAAAGAAACTATATACTGAGGATAGTATCCCTAGTAGTTCAACACATTGATAAGTAATAACTTCCCCAGAAGTAGTAACTCATCAATCGAGGCGGAAGAGAGGCGGAACAGAGGCGGAAAGACAACATTCACACATGTTACAAAGCCACTTGAGATGTTCCGATTTACTAAGAGTAGGAAAACCTACCAGTGAAATTGAATTCAATTTAAAAAGCATGTACCAGGAGCAGTAGATCTAAGGAAGCCTTATTTTGGAGAGGTGTCTCTCCTTTGGCTCACAGGCACTCATAGCCACCTCACTTTTCTTTATACACCTGAGACACTGCAGTTGAAAAGAAAGAACTTGGACTAAAACTAATCAAGAGCCGTGCTCATCCTGAGTTGCAGGCTTGTATGTCTAACATTTCCATCTTTCAGTTTTCACTTGAGAGGGTATTAATTTGGATGTCTCTTATCTATACAGACACTTTTTATAAACATCAAGGAATTTTGTTACCTTTAAGACCTTTACCCTTTGTCAAACTGTTTGCCTTGTCCAAAAACCAAAGTAGAGAAATACAGACATCAAACAACTTCTTTTTTCTTTAAAGGAAACTCAGTGAGTTGTCAAGGAAGCAATTGCTGCTTCCTGTACTGTGACTGATACATTAAGGTCCTGATACACATACATTTTACTAATTTGAGGGGAAAAAAATAACCAGAAATGTCTCCCTTTGTTATTAAAAGTATGATTGAAGCAACAACATTAGTTACTTGAGAATAATAATGGGGTATTTTTTAAATATAAACCACAAAATCCATTACTACTGACACAAGAAATCATGAATAAACAACAAATATATAGAAGAGTACAAAACTATTGTTACTTGATAACTCTTGTTGATTGTATCAAAAAATGGAAAGAATGCATGGTTTTCATATTAAATTTATATTAAAATTCATGTTAGTAGCAGTGTTAGCTATGGGAAAAATAACCCACTTATTCACAAGCAACAGAATGTATCAAAATGTATCACAAACACTAGAATGTATCAGTGAATATAGTATTAGTAAATCCAAAATTAGTCAGACAAACATGAGAATAATACTATATTATAAAAGTAAATTGAAGCAATGAAAGGAAAAAAAAAAGTAAATTTTAATAGTTGAGCTCTTGCATTACAAGAAAAAATAGATTTGATTTAATCTCACCAATGGTATAGGTGACATTGTACTGCAGAGCAACAAACATGATGGCGACCTTGGGTGGGACCTGAAATTAAAAGAGAAGCAGAGTAAAAGTATCAGTGTTTTCAACAAGGTAGACTATAAACACCTAAAACTAGAAGATTATGCCATCAGCTCCATCAAAATGTTCTCCTACGTGATTTAAATCAAAAGAGGTCCCAAAAGTATTATTCATCTCCACAATATGGAGGCTCACCTTGTTACAAAACCTTTACCATTTGCTGTATAGGGTCAGACCTTGAATTATGTCCCTTTACCTGACAACTTATTCTTTTACTAAATAACATTCTAAAGTGTTTAGAAGTGTAAATGGCTTTAATCTTTCTTAAAAGCTAAAAAAAAATCTTAAATCAGATGGAAGGTTTCACTTAACTTTGCAAGATACTAAAAAAGCAATGCTGTGGCTAAGTGTCCCATGAGCAAATAGGTAATTCAAAACATCAGAGTAGAATTACAAGATTAATCAATTCCTTGAATGATAAATCAAGCATTTTCTAAAAAATTACAGTACAGTAAATGTAACCAATGTTATACTTTCATGTTACTTTTTCTCCAGTGGCAATACTAGTAAAAAATTAAAAACCACCAACCCCCCCCAACCCAAAACCAAACATAACACTTTCAGCCATCCCCACCTCTTCAAAATATTTTGCCATTCCCATGCTGCACTATATTTAGCCCTTACCTGTAGCAATGGAACTGTACATAAAGTGGATTACTGTATGACCCTACAACCGAGCAATAAGAAGTAAATGTGTTTGCTTGGTTTAGCTAAAAATTACATTATCTGGTTTGCACAACTGTAAAAACAAGCATTTGTGCTGATACAACTGAAAGAGTCATAAGCTCTAGCAGAAGGATACAAGTGGAAAATAAAAACAATCAAACAAGAAAACCCACCCCTGGTTCCTCTGCTGCAAAAAAATAGATCAATAAATGAAAAATGCAATACTTCCTACACTGTCAATAACAAATGCATTTATTACGTTTGTAAGCACTCAGTTATCCAGATCATAAATCAGAGAAGTACAACAGGCACAATCTGAAAACTGGTGTAAAAAAAAAAAAAATACATTGTTGAGAGGTTGGGGTTTTTTTTTTGCAGTTTCACTTCAGCTGATCTTCATAGCTATGACTTAAAACAGAGAAATAGAAACTGAAACCAGAAAGCTACTTTCGTCAGATGTTACATCATCTGAAAGTGTAATTAAGAACATTCATGAGTATATGAAACAAGCACTAATTTATCCAACTACAAAGTAAGCAAGAGGCACAACAATGCAGAATAATATATGTAGCAAGAAAAGGGAGGAAAAGGCGAATTGCTTCAGTACACTGGGAGAGCACCTGTGAAATCAAGCCATAAGACTGAAGAGTTCTTTTAAGAGGGAGCCTTATTAAGGAAAACGAAAGTACCAATTTTTCTGGCATACAAAATTGACTTTCAGACACTGCAGTTCTATGAGCAATCTAACCTTTTGTAAAAGCCAGCACTATCATCAAAAGGAGCAATTCTGCCTTTCTCTTTACTGCCAGTTGCTTCTTGTCTCTGTCCCACATTTATGTGATCAAAAGTAGTGGTGTGGTGAATTGGACAGCAAAGTTATACAAGTTAAAATTAACCTAACAAAACAGGAGAGAATAAAACCCCTATTAATCTTAGCACATTTCTTAATATGCTGCACATAAGTTAGCATAAAGCATAATAAAAGCATAACTTGTGTTATGCTTTTATTGTTCTTATTTGAATATATACTATTATACTTCTGATTGTGTAATTTAAACAACTGCATATTCTTTTTGATGCAGAAATTGTTTGTTTGATCGAGATACCTCTCTGTTGTGGGAGGAACAGGGGTACTATGTTACAGGTTAGACCTCTGTATTGCAGCTTTGTCTCATTCACTGCAGAAAAGCAGGTGTATAGGAAAGCTGGAGAGGGGCTTTTGACAAGGGCATGTAGAGACAGGACAAGGGAGAATGGCTTTATACTGACAGATAATTCCCCCCACACACACACGTTGCTGAAGTATTTCAGTGAAGTACTTAAGAGAAGGCACTTGCAGGGTGTGAGCAGGGCAGAGCAGAGAGAAGTGAAACTTGCTGCACAAGGAAGACAGCCAAGACATGGAGAGGAAGATGCTCGAGCAGGATACCATGGTGTGAGGCGTCGGACAGGGAAGAAACAGGGACATAATCAGATAGGGAAGAAGGGAAAAGGCAGCCGGAATCCGAGGGGATCTGACAGAGCCGCTTGGCAGCAAGGCTGAGGGATGCAAGGCAAGGTAGGGGTATAGAGAGGGAAGCCAAGAGCACCGCGGTACCCCACAGCAGGAACAGGCGCTGTGCTCCTCGGCCACTAGCAGACCCCTCTCCCCCCCAGTACCTCAAATATGAACCACATCACGATGAATACCGCCAGGCAGTACGCAAAATCCACGAGGTTCTGAACGATGACTTCATGGTTTATCACGGCCGGGGTCCTGTATTTCCTGCGGAATCTCATAGCAATGACAACCCGAACAACCCCGCCAAACTGCACCTCAGCGACCACCACCTCACGCACAGTAAAACACCGCCACACCGCCAGCCCAAACAGCCCACGCCCCTTTCGAGTTCGGGCGAATCAACCTTAAAACTGCTTAGGATTGGCAAGTTCTGGCAACAAATCGTGAAGAGCGGTTTCTAAAGGAGGCGGTGTTTCTGAGGCCGCCGGGCGGAGTGAGCCGGGGCCCAGTTTGAATGACACGGGTCCCTGCCAATCCCACATGAGACTGGGCTGGGCTCCCCTGCAAGGCGGCAGGGGACCATAGTGGGCGGGGTTTGGCTTGTGGCGGGTTCTGCGCTGAGGCGGCTCTCTCAGTGGGATGTGTGGTTTTGGCTCTCTTCGGTTCAACCTGGTGCGATCTCTGCGGAGGCCGGGCGCGCCGCAGGTCCGGTGATAGGCAAGGAGCTCTGTATTCCGAAAGCCCTGCAGGGCACGTTGGTCGGACTGCTGTCCTCAGGAGCCCAAGGGCTGTGGTGGTGGGAAGTGGCCCCTCGTTATCCCCCTCTGGAGTTGTGCTGTGCTCCCTCACCTTCAACTACACAAAGATGTTGAAAAACTATTTTCTCTCAATTAAAACGAGAGAAAGAAGATTCAGAGTGCTTTGAAATCTTAAAAATATGTAGGTTTAGCTATCTAGCTGGAATTTAGGGGGGGAAGCCACACCAAGCTGTCAAAAAACTACTGAAGGGAAGAATGAAGGCTACAGGGTGGCATAGTATCCAGAGAACAGGGTTGGAAGAAGGAATAAGACATAGGTTCCATTTGGCAGCCAGGTGTCCCCTGCTGTGCTGACTGGCCTCAGCTGAAGATAAGCTCTCCCTATATCCACACAACAAATAGGACCTACATTCAGTTCAGCTGTGAAGTAGATTTGCTTCCTATCGATTATTTAAATAGGTGATGCTCACTGAAGCTAATTTTTAGTGTGCCTGAGTTGCTTTGTTTCATGTCCTGCTTAGTTGTTAAGTTTTGCTATGCTCGTACTGCTTTTTCCAGACTTTTTTTTTGTGTTTCAGGCTAATATATATTTGGAAACTGGACTTTACATTTGTTACAGAGCACAGGTGCTACTTGGGGCATTCATTTGGGAAGCAGCGGCCATGCATATTCCTTTTTTCAGCTGAAAAGAGGAATTAAAACCAAAATACTTGTAACAAGTTGTTTACAAATCATGGGGGGTTTTATTAAAAGGAAACAATATAATTGAAAGTATTTCATAATTGTTTAGCCTAATTGCTGCTTCCTTTCTTTTTCTAAAGCTATAAAAATAATGCTGGCTGAGAATTAATTGAGATTTAAACCAGTTTCATTTCTTCTTGGGATGTATCAGAGACAGGAGCAAGGAATGCTGAGTAGGAATGGGAAACAAGAAACAGGAACTTGGAACTTAATTTTGGAACCCGGAACATACTAATTTGATACAATTTATGCTATTCGTTTCACTATATTAGAGTAAGCAAGGTCATCAAGATTTTTATTGCCTGGCAATATTAAGATACCTAGTGTAACGCCTTGAAGAATGTTGTTTAAGCTCTAAGTCCCAGGTATAAACACTCAGAGAGTTTTTATCTGTTTCCAGTGTTTCTCTGTTATATGTGTGCCCATTTCACTTACAGCCCACTGTGTTATTTCCATTGCCCTATCCTTTAAACAAACAAACCTAGCAAACACAGCTATTCATATTTTCATGATATTTTTTTCTGGTAAAAAAAGTAAGCAAAACAAAAAAAAACATAGCCTTTAGTTTAAAAAAAAAAAAAGATTTTCACTTTTCTATTGTCATTTTATTTATTTAGTCAAGGAATTAAACAGAAAATTAGAAAGTTATGTCCCACCAGCCACCTAGGTTGAAAATAACTGTGGTTATTTTTTTTATATAACTGCTTTTATAGTTACTCTGCTATTAAGTTTTACTGATTTGCTGTTCTTCTATATAGAAAGCAAAATGAAATTAATGTCTTTTACAGAATTGTAGAAATCAATTGGAGATCTGCTTGACCACACGGAAGTAGCTAAGAATGGTCCTTTATTTTATACTTCAATTAAACAAGAAGACCTACTTGATAATTTGAGTAGATCCAGAGAAGAAAAAGGATCCAGTTATTGTCATGGGGTAAGTAAACCCAGTTTACAAATCATAAGGCAAATACATTCAAATTGGCTATATGATTTCTTTTGTGTGTTAAAAGACTATCCAAGATTGGGATTTTTTATTTATTCACTTTTTTAAATTTTATTGGGCACTGATTAAACACAAGACAGCATAGAGACTATCTAATTGAATTTAGGATTAAGCAAACTAGACAGATTCACTGTGGGAAACAATGGTACCCTGTAAGCCATACAGTAGTATCAAAACACATTCACAGTGTTCTTCTGGGAGTTTGAGATGAGGGAGGAGAAATAACTTTGGAAAGATAAGATGGGAAAACAGAAGAGACGGGGGACCTGTGTAAATCACTGAAGTCAGACTGGGGTGAATAGCTAAGCGTTTTGCCTGTTCAGAATCTTCCTAAAGCTCATTGGGTTCTAGTTTATGGAGCGTAAAGGGTTCTACCTTAATTTAAGAAGGATAATGACAGATATGAAGCAAAACACAGTGTAAACTATATATGTACAGAGAGAGAGAAAGAGATTATTAGAGATTAAAACTAAAAGAGCCTATTAAGCATTACCCATTTTGGGAATAAAAGAATTAAAAAATGAGCTAAGAATAGAGTTTTTTTGTCACACTATAATTTTTCATACGAAGAAATAGTTTTGGCCTTTCCTTTAAAGTATAT